CTCTCAAAATGCTTCATATATACGTAATTCATAAATTACTGTTCATTTCCTTTATAACAAATATAAAATAAAATAAAAATGCTTTAAAGATATGCATTTTTTATTAAAAAAATAGGGAAAATTAGACCATACAACCAGTAGGTAACACTCCGGCAGCATAATGGTCTCTTTTCACAGAGTTAAGACATTTATCGTCTGCCCTTTTTAATAAACCCCCAACATTTTACTGCTCCCCTTTTCACTTTCCCAGTCAGTACGTGCAGCTGTTAGGAACCCTTTCCCAAGCACAGCGGGCAGAACGGGTTTTGGAATCAGATCTCTTGGTTTCCATCCCAGATCCCCCACTTGGGAGCTGTGTGACCTTCGGCAGATGACATCCTTTTTGTGCCTCAGTTTTCTGTAAAATGGGCACAGCGAGAGTAGCCACCTCGCAGGGTCGTTGGGAGGATCAGGTGAGCTCATGCTCGTACAATGCCAGCACACAGCACACGTTCAACACACACAGAGGCTACTCTTGCCAGACTCTTCATCCTTTACCTCGAAATGTGTGTCCAGTTCTTACAATACTCTGGTAGGAGAAGACACAGTCCCATTACGTTTAAGAGCATAATCAGCTAATCCTGGCCACTCCAAGAGACTCATTACAGAGTCTTCTGGGACATGTATGTATTAAGTGATGACAACATCACTTATTTTTGTCTATTTGGAGTTTTCAGTTCTGTGGCTTGAGGAGGCAGGGCTGAGGAGACACAGGGCGCACTTTTCTGTTGAGAGTCTAAAAAGGTAGTCATGTTTGGGAACTATTAGTTAGCTTGTGAAAGCACAGAGTAGATGAGTTGTTTTTCAACTCCTGGTAGAAGGAAGAGTAAAATGGCTGGGGGTCCAAATGTGGCAAATTTGCAGAGGCTTTATGAATGCCATGAACGCCTTTGCTTGAGATTAGCTTAGGTGATTTTCTATTAAGTAGATGACATCCTTAGTGGTTAATAAAAAAAGGACTTGGATGATATACATGTGCAAGTGTGTGTGTGTGGCCATGACTCATTCCTTGAGTTGGGTCCAGATAATGGCCTTTTGGAGGGCAAAGCCCTTCCCTTCTGGGGTTAGTCAAGAGGCTGATCAAAAATTAACAATCTGGGGGCTTCCCTGGTGGCGCAGTGGTTGAGAGTCCGCCTGCCGACGCAGGGGACACGGGTTCGTGCCCCGGTCCGGGAAGATCCCACATGTCGCGGAGCGGCTGGGCCCGTGGGCCGTGGCCGCTGAGCCCGCACGTCCGGAGCCTGTGCTCCGCAACGGGAGAGGCCACAACAGTGAGAGGCCCGCGTACTGCAAAACAAACAAACAAACAAAAACAACAATCTGTAAACAACAAGGCCCTACTGTATAGCACAGGGAACTATATTCAATATCCGGTAATAAACCATAATGGAAAAGAATATGAAAAAGAATATACGTGTGTACCTGAATCACTTTGCCGTAGAGCAGAGACACTAACATGACACTGTAAATCACATATACTTCAATAAATTCAATTTTTTAAAAGACATCGCGATCTGGTTCTTTCAGGAAACAGAAAGCCTGATGGATGCCGAGGAACGGTGCGAGGGGCTCATCAAAAGCGAGATTCAGCTGGAGGCCAAAGTGAAGGAGCTAAACGGGAGGCTGGAAGAGGAGGGGGGGGATGAATTCTGAACTGGTTGCCAAGAAGAGGAACCTGGAAGATAAACGCTCCTTCCTCAGAAGAGACACTGACGACCTGGAGCTGACCCTGACCAAGGTGGAGGAGGTGAAGCACGCCTCGGAGAGCAAGGTGAGCACGCCCAGCCCCCGCCAGGGGCAGACAGGCGGGGAAGGAGCCCATTCACCCAACATTGTCCGGAAGTGAGAGGGGAGCCAGTGGACGGGCGGTTACATCCCAGCGAGTCCGCCTCTGCCCTGTTCTCGACCCCATGGGCTCTTCCCCCACTCCGGCTGCCTGCCTGGTTGCACCAAAAACTTCTGTCCCTAACCCCTCCTCCACAAGCCAAGAGATGCTTCAGGAGAAGCGTGTGGCACAGGGGGAGCCGACAAATGTGCCTACAGGGCCGGGCAGATGATGAGGGAAGCAGGTGGTGAAGAAGGCAGAAAGCTGGACCACACCAGGGATTGGCAGGGAGGTTAGAGGCACAGGGACCCTCGTGCATTACTGGTAGAGTGTAGACTGATGTAGCCTTCGGGAACGCCATCTGGAAATTCTTAGTCGAATGAAGAATCCACACATCCGGACTGCCCTGGTGGCGCAGTGGTTACGAATCCACCTGCCGATGCAGGGGACACGGGTTCGAGCCCCGGTCTGGGAAGATCCCACAGGCCGCGGAGCAACTAAGCCCGTGCGCCACAACTACTGAGCCTGCGCTCTACAGTCCGCGAGCCACAACTACTGAAGCCCGCATGCCACAACTACTGAGCCCGCATGCCACAACTACTGTGCCCCTGCGCCTAGAGTCCGTGCTCTGCAACAAAGAGAAGCCACCGCAATGAGAAGCCCGCGCACCGCAACGAAGAGTAGCCCCTGCTCGCCACAACTAGAGAAAGCCCGTGCACAGCAACGAAGACCCGACACAGCCAAAAATAAATTAAAAAATTAATTTATTAAAAAAAAAAAAAAAAAAAAAGAATCCTTCAACCCAGTGATTCTGCTCCTGGGTATACAGACCAGGGAATTCTTCTGCCAGGTCCACGAGGGGACATGTATGATGGTGTCTGTGGCAGTGTGGTTTGTGGTGGGGGGTGCTGGAGGCAAGATCGGGGTCCACCCTGGACGGACGGAGAGGTGCGGGGCAGAGGACGCACGGCAGGATATACTACACAGCCATCAGGGCAACAAGATGGATGTAAAAGAGGACAAAGGAAGAAAAAGAAATATACAGCATGGTACCATTTATGTAGACTAAAATCACACACACACAAAATCACATACACTTTACAAAAATAAATGAAAAACACAATCCATGATTCACATCATAATGGTTGCCAGTGAGACAGAGGCAAGGATGAGGTTGGCCAGGTGTGAGATGACCCACGTCAGTGTGGGACAGACAACCGGGCGTTGACAGGGAGGTGATAGGGAGGGGTGCGGACTGCGGCTAACTGGAGAGCACTTGCCCTGCCCCCAGGTGGCAGCCAGGGCCTCGCACCAGCCAGCTGGTGCCCGGTGGCAATGTGAGTCCAGCACTGCCAGAGCTTCCAATTTTCCTTGAGAAACCAGACATCCCAGATTTTACATGAAATCTCATGTTTTTTCAACTTTTATTCAAAAGTTGTAAACTATTATGTGGCCAGATTTGGCCCATAGGTCAGGAATTACCACCTCTGATCTGGCAGAGCGTCATACATGGAGAAAAGTTCAATTGAACGCCTTAAAATCTCTGCGGTTGGTGCCGTTGTCCTGCTTCCTGACACACAGGACTCCTGTTCTGGATTTTCCTGCAATAGCACCTCATGCCTGTACTTCTTCCCCCTGCCGCCTCGTTCTAAACCCCGGGTCAGGTAATAAACAAATCTCCACGGATGTACTGCGATGAATATAGACTGCTGTGTTCCTTCCAGAGGCGGCATATTTGCATTTATCAGTGTCCTTCCTTGTACCATATAACACCCTCTTTAAAGGAATCAGCCTTAAGGGGAGGGTTTGAGGCTCTGTGACAGGCCAGTGAGGACTGAAAAAACCCAGAGGCTGCCAATTTCAGGATGATGCAGCCAACACAGTGAGCACCTGCTGGGGAGGCAAAGAAGCAGTGGCCAAAAAACAAAAAAGTCAAAGAAAAGGAAAAAAAAAAAGAATAAATAGCCTTTGCCAGAAGCTTCTGGTTTAATTGTTTGAACTTTCAATTGGTGTTGATACTCTCTTATGTAAAGAATCTTTCAGAAGAAATGACAGCACTTGAAGAAAACGTTTCCAAACTGACCAAAGAGAAGAAATCTCTGCAGGAAGCCCATCAGCAAACATTGGATGATCTTAAGGTTGAAGATGACAAAGCCAGTGGTCTCACCAAAATAAAAGTCAGGCTGGAGCAGCAAGCAGACGACGTGAGGATATTTTATTACTACGCCCTAACATTGATTACTTGTGGAAGCAAGCGCAGGCAAGATGGGGTGTACACAGGATGCAGGGAGGGGTTGAGGGTTCCGACTCTAGGGCCAGAATCCCTGAGTTCAGATCTCAGCCCATTCCAAATGAATCTGGAATGCTGAGTGAGCCACTTAACTCATGAAGCCTCAGTCCCCACCTTGTGAAACGGAGATACAATTAGCTCTACCTCGGAGGGTTTGCATGGAAAGCTCTACCTCTGAGGGAATGCGTGGAAAGCTCAGCACGTAGAGGGTGTTCAGTAAAATGTTAGCTGCTAGTATCATCTTCATCACTAGCATCGACTTGAATGTAGGTCTTTGGGTTCCGAAAGCTCCAATCCTGTTCTAACTTTGTTAAGAGTGAGTTCCAGGGCTTCCCTGGTGGCGCAGTGGCTGAGAGTCCGCCTGCCGATGCAGGGGACACGGGTTCTTGCCCCGGTCCGGGAAGATCCCACATGCTGCAGAGCGGCTGGGCCCGTGAGCCATGGCTGCTGAGCCTGCGTGTCCGGAGCCTGTGCTCCGCAACAGGAGAGGCCACAACAGTGAGAGGCCCGCGTACCGCGCAAAAAAAAAAAAAAATTACTATACTGTAAGAAGATCCCATGGTTCCTTTGAGTGTCATCTTCTCAAAGGTTTGTTTAAAAACCAGTAAATACTTATCTATTAAAAGCTGATGGTCCAAGATATTGGTGAATAAGCAGCAATCACACATAAAAATAAAGAAAACCTGAAATGACCAATTTTTTAAACTGACCTTTATGTGTTCTGTATCTTCATTCTTATTTTACCTAATGAGAAGCTAAACTGTCAAACAGTTCAATACTGGGCACCAGGGACCCATTTTTTCCATTCATGTTGGCTTTTTCTTTTCTTTTCTTTTCTTTTTAAAGAGTAAAGTGGAAAGAATGTGCCGGACTGTGGAAGACCAATTTAATGAAGTCAAGGCCAAGGATGACCAACAGACACAGTTAATCCATGATCTGAACACGCAAAGGCAAGCCTGCAGACCCAAAATGGTGAGGATGGGCAGGGCCCGGTGGTGGGACCACTGGGCAGTGGGAGAGGGTGGTCCAAACTTTGACGTGGGGCCACATCTGTTTGCCAGGGGAGCTGAGCCACCAAGTGGAAGAGAAGGCGGCTCTGATTTCACAGCTAACCGAAAGCAAGCAGGCCCTCACCCAGCAGCTGGAGGAGCTTAAGAGGCAGCTAGAAGAAGAAACCAAGGTAAGGATGGTTGCCTCTGTTTAGGAAGGCAGAGTCAGGTAGAACCTGAGAAGTCACCAGGCCGGTTGGGGGCACTGCTGCATCATGAAGTGTGATGCTCCTCTCTTACTTGTAGTAGAAGGAACCTGTTCTTGGAGGTTACAGGACCTTGGCATTGGATCTCCTTCAGAGATAGAAAGCTCTACCAGGGCGCTCCATCCTCAGAGCTCCTCTGTGCCCCACTGGAGGGGCTGATAAATGCCCCTCCCCAGCCAGGGGTATCCCCTCCCCATCACTGTACTAGCTTGGGCATCTCTGCCTCTGTGCATTCTTTCACTCTGCCCAGCAATTCATCCCAGCCCCTTGAAAGGCCCTCCTCTTTCTCCTTCATCACTCTTTGTGTATCACCAGCTACAACACCCACATTTAAGCCCCCCTCCTCCAAGAGACCACATTTGGAGCACCCTTGGGACATCTGCATAAACATGAACACCATTATCACCTCCTTGACGTCAATATCAAGCTATTTATGTTTATAATTCATGTCTCCCCACTAACCTGTAAACTTCTAAAGGGCAAGAATTCTTTTTCCCCGCTGTAACGGTAAACGGTAAGTACAGCAGACAGAACAGTGCACACAGTAGGTGCTTAGTAAATGCTGTTGATGGGTGTTCGAGCACTAGAATAGGAATCCGGAAGTCCGCAAACCTGCATGAGTGTAATTCTGAGGTTACCATGTGCCAGCTAAAACTTACAGGGCAGTCTCTTGGAATTCCACCAAGTTCCATCTGCCCCTTCCAAAAGAGAAGTGCTATATTTGTCTCCCATCTTCCTATTATAGGGTAGGGGTATTTGGTGGACTGGATGGAGGCAGGGGGAATGGAGAGAACCAGAACCTGAGAAGGTCCATTACAGGAGCAAGGCTGTTCTCTGGCCAGGATACAGCTAAGCTTTCCTTCCTGGGCAAAGTTTTGTTGTTTACTTGTGTCTTTAAAAGGATAAAAATGTATGAGTTATTGCACTGGGTTGACCAGAAAGTATTTTGTGACCATTATAAGGAGACCTACATTGTCTTCCCGACCAGGTGGGAGTGAGTGATGGAGGCCTCTGGGCATGTCCCCCTCCTGCTTGGGAAGAGGTGGCAGAGCTGTGGAAACGGCATAGCTCATGTCAGAGTTCCCGGGTGGGGACACAGCCCACTGGTGACACCAAAAGATGCTTTTGGGGTTTTCATGGTCACAGTACTCCATAACACTGCATTAAGTAGTGAGAAAATTATTCCCTTTCCAATTCTACTTCAATTCTTCTGATTAAATAAGGAAAAGTTCTCACTTTGAATATAATCTAACACTGGTGTACCTTCCTCATTAAGACGCAGAGAGTAGGCCTCAGACACAGAGGCACAGCAGCCAAGTACCGCACTAGAAGGTGGTAACACCGCCTTACCTCCATTGCATTTATTATGGTTATCTTCTGTTTATGGCAAATGTTAATGGTTTTCCATTTAAATAAATATATTTAAATAAAGGAGTCAACTTTTTAAAAAATGAAGTAAATAAAACAGATATACTGCTACAGCAAGGTTTGTGAAGGCAGCAAGGGAGTGATTCAAGTTGGGAAACACTGGTTGAAACAAAAATACCTTAACTTGGAAACTCCAGGTCTTATCAAATTCCAGTCCTTTATAGATGGCTCAATTCCCTTCTGATCTGATAATTACTTCTGAAATGGTCCACCTTTGTCAACAACAACAAACCTGGTTCTCTTAGGAAAAAACTGGCCCAGAGGCTCCAGGAAGCAGAGGAAAACACAGAGACTGTGAGCTCCAAGTGTGCTTCCTTGGAGAAAACCAAGCAGAGGCTCCAGGGAGAGGTGGACGACCTGATGCTGGATTTGGAGCAGGCCAACACCACCTGCGCCTGCCTGAACAAGAAGCAGAGGAACTCGATAAGGTCCTTCCCCACCGCTTGACGGCAGCCGCAATGCAAGAGATGTGTGAGATGCACACCTTCGGGGAGGCCCTCGAGCATCAACTCCCAGTGTGGAGGGTTTGGGGCTTTGCGCTGTCTCTTTACTTTTGTGACAGTCCCTCCAAAATGAATTTTATTTTTCGTTAAAGTTAATTCAACTTACTTTGAGATCAACATATCTTTCAAGAATACAGCAGATCTCTGTAGTGATATCAGAGTTTGGAACCCCTGAGTTTGGGGCTGACCCTGTTTCTTTGGTCCCTAAGGATAGAAGGGTCCAACCTTGTCATTGCTGATGGCCCTTGTTGGTATGACTCATCCAAGTCCCTGGCCCTTTCGGCTTCTCACGTGTCCCTCTGTCACCTCCTAGGTCCTCGCAGGGTGGAAACAAAAATTGGATGAGAGTCAAGCTGAGTTGGAAGCTGCTCAGAAAGAGTCCAGGTCACTTAGTACTGAAATCTTCAAGATGCGCAATGCCTACGAGCAGGTGGTGGGTCAGTTAGAGACACTGAGACCGGAGAACAAAAGTCTGCAAGGTGAGCTCTCCCCATCACAGGTGTGTGACAGCCCCCAGCTCTCGCCCATCACAGGTGTGTGACAGCCCCCAGCTCTCTCCCCACCACAGGTGTGACAGTCCCCAGCTCTCTCCCCATCACAGGGGTGTGACAGCCCCCAGCTCTCTCCCCCCAACAGGTGTGTGACAGCCCCCAGCTCTCTCCCCATCACAGGTGTGACAGTCCCCAGCTCTCTCCCCATCACAGGGGTGTGACAGTCCCCAGCTCTCTCCCCCCAACAGGTGTGTGACAGTCCCCAGCTCTCCCCCCAACAGGTGTGTGACAGTCCCCAGCTCTCTCCCCCCAACAGGTGTGTGACAGTCCCCCTTCTCTTCTGGCCACCCCTCCCCCATTTGGCCACAGCCTCCTCCTTCCCGCTGCCCCATAAAATCCTCACATCTACTCAGTTTACCCTGAGACCCAAACTCCCCCAATGTAAGGCACAGTCACAGCCAAGCCTTGCTCTTGAGAACAGAGGGCTCCCTGGGCTGCTAAGCTCCCTGCTCTTCCATAGAACATATCTTCCATGGATTCTGTCTCTACATGGCTTTGTGTCCTTGATCCTGTCACTAGATCCCTTAGGATCTCAGACTGCTGACCTACAAAACTAGACCAGACCCAATGCCCCCGAAAGCCCCTTCTATTTCCGAGACCATGATTCTATGTGTTTTCTCCACAGTTT